TCCCTACCCTCTTGGGTTTTTTCCCTATCCTCCTGGGTTTCCGTGCCCTCTTGGGTTTCTTCCCTGGCCTCTTGGGTTTCTTCCCTACCCTCCTGGGTTTCTTCCATGCCCTCTTGGGTTTCTTCCCTACTCTCTTGGGTTTCTTCCCTACCCTCCTGGGTTTCTTCCATGCCCTCTTGGGTTTCTTCCGGCCTACCCTCCTGGGTTTCTTCCATACCCTCTTGGGTTTCTTCCCTACCCTCTTGGGTTTCTTCCCTACTCTCTTGGGTTTCTTCCCTACCCTCCTGGGTTTCTTCCATGCCCTCTTGGGTTTCTTCCCTACTCTCTTGGGTTTCTTCCCTACCCTCCTGGGTTTCTTCCATACCCTCTTGGGTTTCTTCCCTACCCTCTTGGGTTTCTTCCCTACTCTCTTGGGTTTCTTCCCTACCCTCCTGGGTTTCTTCCATGCCCTCTTGGGTTTCTTCCGGCCTACCCTCCTGGGTTTCTTCCATACCCTCTTGGGTTTCTTCCCTACCCTCCTGGGTTTCTTCCGGGCCCTCTTGGGTTTCTTCCCTACCCTCCTGGGTTTCTTCCCTACCCTCTTGGGTTTTTTCCCTATCCTCCTGGGTTTCCGTGCCCTCTTGGGTTTCTTCCCTACCCTCCTGGGTTTCTTCCCTACCCTCCTGGGTTTCTTCCCTACCCTCCTGGGTTTCTTCCGGGCCCTCTTGGGTTTCTTCCCTACCCTCCTGGGTTTCTTCCCTACCCTCCTGGGTTTCTTCTATACCCTCCTGAGTTTCTTCCATACCCTCTTGGGTTTCTTCCCTACCCTCTTGGGTTTGTTTCCTATCAGGAGTGTCCTGGGTTTCTTCCAAGCTAACAGGAGGCTGTGTATCTTCCTGACTAGACATAATAGGCTTCTTATTTGTTTCTCCCTGATTAGTAGTTCTAACTATGATAACATGCTGCTCTTTGCCTTCCTGATCAGCTGAATTCAGTGTTTCTTCCTGATTAATACTCATCAGTGTCAATCGAGAAAAATTGTCTTCAATTATTCATCCGTCGCCTGTCGGGCTACGTTACCTTTTGCGGTTATCAAATTTATACAAGCCAATGTGATAAGTTATAGTGGTGTGAGTAATGGCATGAGTGGTATCTTACTATATAATACTAGACTGGCTATAACCAGGCTCTGATAGATCAGATGCATAAAATAAAAATTATATATGGCCACTAATAACACAAAATAGGAATAGAGGATGTTTTAGGTTTCTTATGTAAGAAATATTATCAATTCACAACAGAAACTAAATACAGTCTAAACTGATAAATAAACATTGCAAAAAAGCAATAATAACTAGTAAAAACACTATATACTAAAGTAGTCAACGAGAAATTCTTGAGAAAATGTGTTTCACAGCAGCTTTGATCCACAGAAAAGGTTTCGGAATTAATTTTAAGGCATACATAGCCCCTTTTGCAACTTTCTTTCCATATTTCTTCATGAACGATTCACGAACAATTTCTTCAACAAATTCATTTGTAACAGGAATCTCTTGTTGAGTAAGATCAATTACATCTTCATTTGTTTCATCTACAGGCTGTTAAAATAATTACACTGAATAATGTGAAATAAACTGAACTGATAATGTGTACATTGTATTTCAGCCGTGTATGAATTGTATCACTGCTTGTGTGCATGCTCAGTAAAGAGCAATGCTGTATATGTTATTGAGGCATGGTTGCGAATCTTGCTATATTTTTGTGATCATTTTGTTATTAAGTGCAATGGTACGACTATTTTAAACTTACTCGAGCTATACCATCATTATTCACAGTAGTTGATTGCTGGTTTCCATTTACATTAATGCTCTATGTAAAAAATACATTCAGTATATTGGTACTTGTTCTGATTACAGTGCATATTTCCTTATCAAAATAATTATATTAAATTAGACTAGTGTTAATGTGCTTGAATAATTCACCTCATTTTGTTGTAAATCAGAACTTGAGCAGCTTTCCATGGCCACCTCCTGCTTAAAATTTAAAATTAGTTAGTCTAATACTATATTGTGTGGGTGTATCAAAGGCACTGCCACAAGTTTATATAGCGGAGGGTAGTTAGGTCATTTATCTGACAATTCTGGTAGTTAGACAACAGGCTTTCATACACCCACACACTATAGTACAAACCAGATAAACTACAGATGTTTCATGTTACTGAATATGCCTTCGCTGGGCATCTGATCTGCCTAGGCTTCTAATCAAGTATTGTAGTTTATCTATAACATTTGCACTTACTTCTAGTAATTCAATGGCTTCCACTGTTAATTCTTCAGTAGCTTCTACTACTTCTTCGTCACCTACTTGCACAGCAACAGCCATA